GTAATCAGAGCAAGTGTTGATGATGTTATTCATGATGAGACCAACATGTAGTCTGCCATGGCATTGATAAAAGCACGAGAGACGGTGGAAGAGATGAAGAGAAGTTAAGATGTGATTTCCACCTCTCTATCGATGAGCAGCAAATAAAATGTGAAGGTTACGACACATGTTTTATATGTAAATATCAAAGTTTAAGTGTGATATAGGTAAATTAAGATGTATGTAGAAAGCTCTTTCATTTAAAGTCCAATTTCATTATAAATATAGATGATTGATTAATGTATTACCTTAAGTTGTTTGTAACTTATTTAGCTTGATCATAATTAATATAAGTTCGATAAATAATAAATGAATGATTATTATTGATTAAATTAATAATTAATAAATAATTTAATAAAATTCTAATTGATGGCTATTTAGTTTTAAGGAATAGCTAATTAATGATTTGTTGATGAATATTAAAGTGATGCTCAATGGTTATTTTTTTTATAAAAATTCAAATTAAAAATAATTAGTGTTTCGGATTAAACGTATCTAATTAATGACTAAAAAAGCTACAAATAATAGAAAATAAATCAAATTAAGTCATTCTTAATAATAAGCATCAATAATTAATATGAAAATCTTATTTTAAATAATGTATTTAAATCTTGAAATAACTTTCTTAAAAAATAAATCAAAATTTAATTGAATTTGATTCCTATCATATTAAATTATTTTGAAGATTTAGGAAAACTTACATGCATACACCTCAATTCTTATGCATCTATAAATGTAAATCCTAAACTTCAAATTTAGCATACATACCACCTTTTATAGAGTAGTTTAAATGCAAAACAAAATTTATCTGTTAGATATGTAATTACATAAGAATTAGATGATATGCATGTAAATACCCATAAGATTTAGCTTTGTAGCAGTAGAGCGGTCAATTATTAACTGACTGGTCGTAGGTTTGAATCCCACTTGGGGAGATTTTATGTTTTTTGAATTATTTGTCCTTGATAATTAGCATTGGGGAAAGGCAGATCTTCACTCATTCATGAAGTGCCCTCGGTGAGACACGACCCACAACATGGGGTGGGGGGAGACCGAATAAAGTTTTCTGAACTCAGTCCCCGTTCTTGTCAAAGTAAACTGACTTCACCTGATTTCTTTTAAAATTTGAGGTCGTCTCCAAAGGAGAAGTGTTGCAAACTAAAACAGCAAAAATTTATCATTTTTGTGAAAAAACTTCAAAAAATGTTTGTACCTGGTTGTTTCACCAAATGAAATTTTTTGCAGGCCTTGTCCTTAGCTCTAACGGAATGGAACTTCCTCGTTGTTTCGTTTTGCCTATTTTCCATCGTCAAAAGTGCCGAGAGATTGCCCACCCTACGTTTGGCGGATGAACTTCAGACAAAGTGCTTCTACTGAAACAATGATATTCAACATTTTCAGATGGCGGGTCCCTTCCTTTGTTCGGGTTTTTGGATTGCGTTTGGATCATTCAGAATACTAATGGTTGAAAAAACCCAAATCTCATCATAGCAATAAGAAAAAATTTTGTGTATTTCATTCGTACTCGAGCTGTGTACAGACGACGAACTACGACGAACGCGATACACCAAGTGTATCACGTTCATGGTCCGTACGTAGCTTGCATAAAGACGACGTGCGCAAAATTTTTTCCAGTGATGGACTAGATGTTCCTTGTTGGACGACGAACGCGATACGCCAGGTGTATCACGTTCCTGGTCCATACGTAGCTCGCATAAAGACGACGTGCGCAGAATTTTTTCCAGTGATGGACTAGATGTTCCTTGTTGTATCCTTCTCCCACTTTCTGATTGCCTCCAACGACGATGACATCGCCACCATGATCATTGTCGCTGATGTTGATCGCAACAAATTTGTCCAATTCGAGGAATTCAAACACGTCCTCCTTGTAGCCAACATAAGAAAGTGAAACTACTTGAATGTATTCAAAAAAAAAAAATGAGCAGCATATAGATTTGTTTTTCTAATGACTTACTCGCTGATGGAGGCCATGAAAGGGGAACTAGAAATGATTGTGTGTCCATGAACTTGCATTTGGACTTGTGAATCCTTTTACTTAATCAGGTATTTCTGTCCTTTACTTTTGTAAAAATTGCAAGAAAGATTTTTATTCAAACTAGATATTCATTCAAAATATGCTCTTTTATATTTTTGCTCAAGAAAACAATTTAAAAGAACTTTTATGAAAGACAAAGTGGTTCTGAATGAGAAAAAAAATTAAGGGCCCATTTAGGGCAGCTTATTTCATGTGGTGCATTTTGAAAATGCCAGCAGAGGTGTTCAGTTACTGCGGCGCTACAACTTATCCTAATAATTTGTGTTAAACTTGGTCGTGGGTTTGACCTTGCGACCCGCTTTTCTTCACATATGTATTACCCAGTGCCCCTCTCGACCCCGTGGCTCCCTCTCTCGCATCTCGTCTGCCCTAGGTGCCTCCCTGCCTCTGTTGATTGCTCTTGTGATCCCTAGGTACCTCTCTCTCACGCTTCTCTCAAGCCTCTCATGCATCTCTCTAGCACTTCGCTTGAGCCTCTCACACGCCTCTCTCTGGTGGTTGCCTTTGTCCTCTACCAATTTCTCTGAAGTGCTCTGTACATAATCCTTATGCCTATTTTTGATGGAATGGCTTTCATTTTGCGATTTTATTCTTACTATGAGCTAATATTTAGTAAAAAAATATGAATTTTAAGTTTTATAATCTTAAGAAAGCGTTGACTGTTGATATATGCGATGAAAAAATGCATCTGTAGCTACGAGAACTTTCAGGTAATGAAAGGGTACGAAAACCACTTACATCCCAAGCTCTCCTTAGGCTGTTTATGTCTTTTTGAAAAAGTTCTATGTAGCTTCAAATTCATCGTATTCCATTCACATGTATCCCCAAATAATTTATTCTAATTTGTGTTACCATACTAAGATGGAATGAACACTTATTGAATAAAAGTGTTAACTATCAGGATACATGCAATGGAAAAATGCATCAGTAGCTAAGAGAACTTCTAGGTGAGGAGGGAGGTACAAAGACCACTTACATCTCAAGCTCTCATTTGACAGTTTAGACCTTCTTGACAAAGTTCTATGTAGCTTCAAATGCACTGTATTTCATTCACTTATATCCCTAAACAATTTATTTTAATTTGTGTTATCATACTAAAAAGAAATGTTCTAAAGAACACTTAATAAAAGTGTTGACTATCATGATATATGCAATGAAAAACTACATCCTTAGCTATGAGAACTTCGAGATGAGGAGGGAAGTACCAAGACCAATTGCATCACAAAGCTCTCTTTAGGCAATTTAGGGATTTTTTTTTGACAATATTCTATATAGTTTTAAATGCAATGCATTCCATACACATTTATCCCTAAATAGTTTATTCTAATTGATGTTACCATACTAAGAGGAAAGGTTCTAAAGAACACTTATTTAATAAAAACGTTGACTATGATAATACAATAGTTTCTGGTAGAGACATATATGAAATTAAAAATGACTTGAAACGGAGAA